CTGGCCTTCTCCTTTTCATAAGACTTGATGTGATTATACCAACGGAGGGCATGATACAAGTCGGCAGGTGGGGGGCCGGAGACTGCCTCAAATACTGCCACGTCTGCTTGTGACGGCACATACCTGCCAAGGATACAAAAATTACACACACCTTTAGGAGAAAATCTACAAACATCAGCAAATAAATGACAAACGGCACATCCGTCAAACTAATTACTGTGAACTGGCCCATTTGCTACTGGGCAACCTAAGCTGCTGTATTTATTTTGTAAAATAAACTCAAGATCGGGGTACATGTGTTTGGTTTTCCGCCCTACCCTGAGAATCCCTGCCACTTCGTGGACCTCAAAGTTTGTAATCTCTAACAGACCTACAAGCTTACTTCCACAAACTGAGTGAACAAGGGGAAAACCATGGCTGAATCAAGTCAGTGGAAAGAAAGCATATGTTTAACCCTTCGCCCCTCGCAGCCCCGCTACCTTTCCCCCAGCGGCGGCGGCAGAGGCCGCGCCACGTGGCCCGGCCCCAAGCCCGGGCCCGTCCTCACCCCTCGATGTAGCTCTTGTCCGCTAGGTAGTCGTTGAGCACCTGGAGACCGGCGGGGCTTTTCAGGTCTCCAAAACCCATGCCGTCGGCTGATCCCAGGAACCGGGTGGCAGCGAAGGAAAAGACGAGCGGAGGTAGTCGGCGCCTAGCGCTAGGAAGAAAAAAAAAAAAGGGCCGCAAAAGGCCGGAAAATGCCTTATATAGAGACGGAGGCGTTTCCCTCTGCCGCACAGGGTCGAAGGTTAAAGGTCAAAGTACGTTAATATCCTCATTACTCCACGAAAAACTCGAGGGCTCTGAATTGAACGCCCCACAAATTATCTGCGGGCCTCTATGTGTTTAGGAATAAATTAATAAAAGGGGTATTTCTTAAATTAGTACCTCCACGGCTCCGGAACACTACAGGAACCGCCCCTCGAAGCGCCGGAGATGACCGAAGACGCTCAGTTTCAGGCGCCTGACCACTTCCGGCGGAACTGCGGTTCCAAACTGTCT